GAAAGTATGCATGGTACAGTACTGGAACTTCGTATGGAGATATGTATGTAGTTGAAATCAAGCCCATACTCATGGAGAAAATTTGGGCTATTTGAAAAGGGTGTGTGAGGCCTACAAACGTACCGACCTTTAGCTATCTTTGAATGAATTTTTTTTATTCTTCTGTAGGTGTGTTTGTGAGTGAAATCCTCCTAAATGGTTGTACGGATTTTAACGAAACTTTTTGTGTATTTGAGTGGGTCTCTGGATGGTTTAGTTTCACAATTTAATCCGACAGTTGGCGCTGTAGTTGAGTTATTACTAAAAATCTTATTTATGATCCGATTTGGCTAATGTTTTAAATATGTATGAAATACTATTGCAAAAACGTGCTGCCAGGTGGTGCTGAAGTCGAGCTATTACTAAAAATAGCCAAGTGAGAAAAGGGGCTGTGAAGGTCAGATTAAATCGACCTGTTGCACCATTGAGTATATCGAACGCTCCTGCAATTGGCCCAATGGATGTGATTTTCCAATATTATTATGCGTTCAAGCTTTTAAGGTATTTCGTCTGAAATAAGTATATGTATATTGCATTTCTGTAGAACAATGATTCGCACCCATTTTGAAATTGCCACTTACTATACTGTAAAGCTTCTAGGACATTCACTATAGAACCAGGTCATTGTTGCCGCCAGGGAGTGAAGGAGAAAAAATTTATTTCGCTTTGCGAATAACCGTGCTATGAAATGCCGCATAACTGGAGAATTTCAAGAACGGATATAACACTTTCCTTATGTTATTTAAAGCGGCAAATTACCACCAAACCTTAATCTTAGCCAAATGTGCCAATGAAAATCGTAAACGTGAATTGTTGGTAAAAATGTTGGACCAAAAAGTTTCAATAAAATATTTAAAAATTTTGGGCGGGACGAAGTTCGCCGGGTCTGCTAGTTTAAGTATATAATAAAACATGATATTCATAAATATACTTCAGACAACTATCATCTTGTATTGCTAGATACCTGATAACCCAGGATAATAATTAGGTTCTTAAAGCTCCTTACTCTGCTCAAAGCTTCGTTCAGTGGGCCATGAGAAAACAGTCATCTTTAAAGTATAGTCCAACCTTTCACAATATCTGTACAAGGGCTTTATTAGTTGTAATCTGAACTGCAATAATCACTGAAAATTGGGGTCGTTTATGGCGAAAAGTATTTAGTTAAACTAAAGCTTTCTTAACCCTTTCAGTACAAAAATTCAACCACTGATTTTAAAGATTTTAGAATATGTATACCGACTAATTTGGATCCTTCATTTCAAAAATAACATCAAAAAATGTTTAAAGCTTTGAGTCTTACTACCGTTCAGGGTCCTTTAAAATTATCAGTGTTTAAAAAAGAAAGTTATCTCACCTATTTTTACTTTTTGCTTTCGCGACATACATGTATTTCGAAACTATGAATAATACCAAATACCTTTTCTGAATCCCAATTCTAGGGAAAATTGGTTAATATTTTTTAATAGATTACATTGCTCACTATCGACTTTTCTGCCACTTTTTAGTTTAGTGACAAACACGGTCAGGTCAACTGCAACTACAGCTTGCACCAAAATTATATATATAGCTTGTAGTCGTAAGACTGAGCAATTACACTGTACAGCACTCGGCAGGGTATTGGACCAAACCAACTTTTTTTAAGAGATTGAGTCATAAGTAAAAAAGTAATTTCTCCGTTTTTCGAAGTTAGCCTCCAAAATCGAGTTATGGGCCTTCAAAGTTCAAATTTGGACCTTTGGTAAAAAATTTGTTTTAATTGTTGCATGTAAAAAGCAAAAAAAGTAAAAATACAGACGTTGCTCTTATTTATATGGTATATAACTTTTTTTGTGAAAACTTATATTACAGGTGCTATAACGGGTTAAAGGTCAGATCTTCGAAAAATTAAAAACTTAATATTTCAGAAAATTTTGAACTGATTTTTAAAAGATTCATATCGTTGTAAAAGTGATTTAAGCCCCTTTCTTGTGATATGCATATTTAAAAGAAAAATATCTTTTTTGTATAAAAAAAAATTTAAACAAAAAAATTACTATCATACATCGTTTTAAAGCTGATTAAACCCTCTTTCTTCTGATATGCATATTTGTATACTTCGTAAATAAAAATTTCAGAAAAAATAACTTTTTTTATCAAAAAATATTTTAAGCAAAAAAATTACTCACCAATTTTTAAAAAATTGGCATCGTTGTTAAGGTGATTAAACTCCTTTTCATCTAATATGCATATTTGTGCACTTCGTATATAAAAATTAAAAAAAAAAACACTTAATCGGAAAAAATACCAATTTTTTCTAATAAAAAAAAAATTAAAAAAAAAATACTAATTACTAATACAATTGAATACCGTATTTAAATAAAACGAATTATTAATGATGTTTTAAGCTTTAATTCGTTCTTGTGACCCACAGCCCTGTTAAAAATAAAGCAAAAGTAGTCCAAGGCATATAAAAATATAAAAACACCATGGTTTTTGATTTTTTACATAACAGGTTATATATAAAAATTAATGGTTTTTGATTTTTTACATAACAGGTTATATATAAAAATTAAAGGTAATTTTCTATTTTATTTGAATAAAGTATTCAATTGTATTTCATATTGTTATTTTTTTAGTTTAGAATATTTTTTATAAGAAAAAATTGGTATTTTTCCTTTTTTTCCATATCAGAAGAAAGGAGGTTTAATCGCCTTTAAAAATCCGTTGGTAATATTTTTCTTTATAAAAAAAAAGTTATTTTTTCCTCTAAATGTGGTTTTTCTTAAATTTTTATATACAAAGTATACAAATATGCTTATCAGAAGAAAGAAGTTTAATTGCCTTTACAACGATAACAATTTTTCAAAAATCGGTTAGAATTTTTTTTGTTTAAAATATTTTTTTTTATAAAAAAGAGGTATTTTTCCTTTAAATGTGTGTTTTGTTTTAAATTTTTATATAGGAAGCATGCAAATATGCATATCAATGACACTAACTTTTTAAAAATGGGTTAGTAATTTTTTTGTTTAAAATATTTTTTATTTTTTTTTTGAGGTATTTTTTGCTTTTAATGTGTTTTTCTCAAATATTTATGTACGAAGTACATGAGAAGAAAGGGGCTTTAATCATCATTACAACGATACCAATGTTTTAAAAATCGGTTAGTAATTTTTTTGTTTAAAATATTTTTTTTTTTTTACAAAAAAGAAAGGTATTTGGTTGGTTGGTTTAAGTGGATTGTCACTCAGGTGACAAGCAATTAGCAAGTTTGCCATTTTGATTCCACAACTCGTGCATACATACGTCATACAGAGAGAGGCAGCTGCAGTCTGAAATATTCTGCAGGAATGGTTTGCCGAGTGTCTTTAGCCTCATCCTTGCGAGGGCTGGACACTCGCACAGCAAGTGTTCGACAGTCTCTTTTGAGCCTGGGTCATCGCAGCTGCGACAGAACCTATTGACGGGCCGTCCTATCCTTTCGGCATGTACCCCAACGGGCCAGTGCCCTGTGCACACTGCAGTAAGTTTGTAGTCATTTGTTTAGCTCATTCCTAAGAGAGATTTGGTTTTGAGTGGGTCGTAGGACACCCAGAACTGCCGGGCAATTCTGTAGGATCCTGGTGCAGTTCCACCCCTGCCTGGCCTTCGAATGATAACTTTCGGTAATTTTCGTCTTAATCTCCCTGAGCGAGGCGCCCATGTCCACCGCGTGGGACACATCCAGTGCGGAGCCTCTCTTTGCTAGTTCGTCCGCTGCCTCATTTCCGTAGATGCCCCTATGTCCCGGGACCCTTATTAGAGTAATTTCGTATTGATCAGAAATATAGGCCAGCTCTCTCCTACATTCATCCACTAGCTGAGATCTAACCGAGTTAGAGGAAAGTGCCTGAATTGCCGCTTGGCTATCCGAGAGGATGTTCACATGCGTTCTCGGGGGTACATTGTCTTTGATGTACTTTACTGCCTACTTAATAGCAAACGTTTCGGCCTGGAAAACGCTTGCATAGTCTGGTAGGCGGAAGGATAATTTTAGGTTATATTGCTCAATGAAGACCCCAGCACCAACACCGCATTCCATCTTTGACCCATCCGTAAAGACAGTTAAGCCCTGCAAGTACCCGAAATCTTCCTGGTTCCAGTCACTGCGGCTTGGGAATTTCGTGTGGGGTTTATGGTGAACCCAGGTCTTGGACAGGATATAGTCAATGGGCAGCGCTTTAATTTCAGACGGTATTGCGTCTAGGATGGGACCGTGCCCGAACGGTCTTTCCTTCCAGAGCCCCAGGGCACGCAGTCAAATGGCGCTGTTAGCAGCTGAATTCTCTATGAAGATGTAGGAATGTATTGATTTTGCAAAGACTACCATGCAGTAGTTTACTAACAATTTAGTTGGATCTGGTAACACTAGTCACACTGTCACTTGATCACTATTTTCCTTTTGACCTGACCTTCTCCTTCGTTTGTGAGACACACACATTTTCTTGTAACTTAGAATTAAAATAAATGAATTATTGAAATCCAGAAACATCTCGTTCAAATTGCATCAGAAATTTAACATTGGCGACGAGAAAATGGACGAAAGGACGCTATTTTCGCTGTTGGTAAAATTTCAGGAATCGAACAAAGAATTTCTTGAAAAAATCTTGCAACAAAACTTGGCATCGTTGCAGCGCGTGCTAGGCACTGACTGCCACTCAAGTACTGCGCCGGTCTTTAGAAGCTTCAACAAAAATGTAGAAAAATGGTCTACATATGTCCAGCAATTAGAACATCATTTCATTGCCAACAATGTCACAGAGGACACTATGAAACGCGCGAGTCTTCTGTCCTGGATCGGTACGGAAACGTTCGAGCTGCTACAAAAGCTAAGCGACAATAACTTGGAAGGGAAGTCCTTCAGTGAGGTAAAATCGCTTCTAGATAGTCACTTTATTGAAAAGCAGCATATTCTGGCGGCCCGATTTAAGTTTTATTCAATTAGAATGAAGCCCAGTCAAACTTATGTCGAATGGGTGGCTGAGTTGCGTGGTGCTGCGAGAGAGTGCATGTTCGAATGCGCTGCAGATGGGTGCCGTAAATCTTTTCTCGATAGTAACATAAGGGATATGATTATCATGCATACACCACATGATAAAGTGCGAAGTGCAGCTCTCCAAAAGCCTAACCCTACATTAGATGAAGTATTGCAAATAGCTACAGTGTACGAGTCGACAATCAAAACGTGCTTGGAGATTAAGGGTGAGGGGGACGCACCAGCCGTAAATGCCATTCACCGATCAAAACAACTTGAAAAGAAGCGGAACGGAGGACGAAGTAAATCGCGAAGCTCGTCAGTCAGCGGGAAGTCTTGCCCTAGTTGTGGATCTGCACACAACAGAGGGAACTGTTTCCATTACAAGAACAAAACGAAATGTCGGTCCTGCGGTAAGGTAGGGCATATTGCTTTAGTGTCTGTATCGCATTCTTCGGCACGATCGACCACCCCAAGTCGAAAAAAGAGAATGCAGACAATGTGAACGTGGTGAGTAATACGCTTTTCGAGAGTATAGGCGTCGCCGAGGTATCGTTAGCAAATACGGCTGCTGATAAAATTCTACTAAACATAGACATCAATGACAGAACGTTGGAATTTCAAGTAGACACAGGTGCTACGTGCTTGCTCATAGGCCTCCCTACATACCGCATATTAGGCGAACCGAGATGTGAACCCACTAACAAAATTCTGAAGGCGTACGGTGGGAACGTTTTACCCCTTGTAGGAACAACTAATGTGAAAGCTAAATGGAGAGATACGATCAAATCCTTACCACTGCTTGTTGTAAAATCTGAACGCGCAACCAATATTCTTGGGCTAGACTGGTTTAAAATGCTGAAATTTCAGGTAGACTTACAAGATAACGAAATTTCTGGTAACGTGTGTAATACTTGTTCGTTCACGGAAGAGGCATCACAGCTAAATTTGCGCGTTTCTCTCAGGCAGTGTGTTAACCAGCACCCGGAAATATTCTTATCAAAGCTGGGAAACTGCAAAACGTTTAAGGCAAATATCACTCTTCAGCCTAAGGCAAAACCGAAATTCTTTAAGCCTTACAATTTACCATTTGCTCTTCACGCTGATGTGAAAGCTGAAATTGAGCGACTTGTTAAAGCTGAAGTGTTGAAACCTATACGCGTGAGTGAATGGGCAGCGCCAATCGTAGTTGTGCGAAAGCCAAACGGTAAATTTCGAATTTGTGCTGATTTCAAAGTCGCTTTGAATTCCCAAATCCAAATCGACCGGTACCCGATACCCAGAATAGAAGAGTTGTTCCATAAGCTACAAGGTGGTAAATATTTCACAAAAATCGATCTAAGCGACGCATATTTGCAAGTCAATTTAACCGACGAGGCGAAAAAATTTACGGTTATTAATACTCCATTTGGATTATTTCAATTTCAGAGCATGCCTTTCGGAATGGCTAGTGCGCCTGGAATTTTCCAACGTTTTATGGAAGAAGTCATCGCTGGTGTTCCGCATTGTGCCGTTTATTTGGATGACATTATCGTCACCGGCCAAGATAACGACGAGCACATCCGTAATGTAGAAGAAATTTTTAAGCGTTTAAGCTTTCACGGTCTTACATGCAGGGTGGAAAAGTGTAATTTTGCGGAAAAGCAAGTCGAGTACGTCGGGCATATCATCAACGCTACAGGAATAATGCCATCAGAAAAGCGAGTCGACGCAATTAAACGTATGCCTCCGCCGAAAAATATCAAAGAAATCGAATCTTTTATCGGCAAGGTAAATTATTACAACAAATTCATCAGTAACTTTTCATCTCTTGCAGCGCCTTTAAACAGACTTAGACGTAAAAATGTTGAATATAGATGGGGGCGACTGGAAGAAAATTCATTTCAGAAGTTAAAAAATGCTATCGTAGCCACCACACAACTTGTTCACTACGATGACAGACTACCTATTATTTTAGCAGTTGATGCTTCTAAGTATGGAATCGGAGCCGTAATACAGACGGTATTGAAAAGCCTATCGCGCACGCCTCTAAAACACTCAACAGCAGCCAAGCACGCTACTCTCAAATCGAAAAGGAAGCGCTGGCCATCATATACGGTGTTACAAAATTCCACCACTATCTTTACGGTCG